GCAACTGGAATGTTCATCTAGTTTATATGAAGGAAACCCACATTAGGCTTCTCACGCTACCACTTTGCCAGAGGAAAGGGGAAGAAGCCAATTATGTTTAAGTAAAAATGCAGAGTCTGTGCATTAAGCCGTCTTTACTAAGTAAATCTGTCTCATGACGAATCATTTGATGGTGTGTCAGTCTGTCAGATCCTTACTTATTGTTCTGTTTGAGATAAATAAGATTTGAATCCTTCTCCAAGTCTAAATGATCGACTGCATCAACCTTCCGGTCAGTCTCGTAAAAAGAGTATTTAAGCAGCATCTGAACATGAATTCAGGAAGCTTGCAGAACGTGTGTGGTGGCGCAATGGAATTTGCACCATCTTGCATGTAGGAAATCATGATGCTTGTGATGAGCAGTGGCATGAAACAAAGAGACCACTTCTGCTTCCCCCTGCACCGGAGAAGGCTCAACACAACAGCTTTATTGTAATCACTTCTGTCTTTGAATTCACATACATGAAACATGGAGGGGGAGAGGGTTTAAGAGGCAGCACTGCAATTGGCACAAAAAAGGATTGCATGACAGATCGCCTGAGAGTGACTAATTCAAGAGATGAGCAATGTATATACAGATGGTTCTGAGCATCGTTCTACTCCTTTTCCTCGCTATGCAAAGCCGATCAGATAGTTAGCATTAATTATTGGTGTCTTCATTTAGGCCAACATCTCACTTGATTTTGTAGCTAAAGTGCCCACACAGTTGTTCTAGTCGCACTAGATCCAGTCAGGTGACACGCTTTAATCCCTCTTACACTGGTGTTATTCTTCGTCTTGACAACTGCTGATCTTCGATGCGACTCCGCCGCCCGTGAAAGAATCCAGTAAATCAAAATTGAGCATCTGTCGACTGGCTCCCGGCATTTTCTTTGTCAGTTGTCACTTCCCTCACTCTCTGGTGAAACATACAGGTTTCACAGCTCTTCTTTCCTTGCGCAACATTCCTCTAACATATATGACTATAGTATTGGGCCGCCTGAGGGGTTTCTCCTTTAAGCAGCTATTGTTTGTTGCTCAACTGGGTCAGACAGACGTCTATAATATGACCACATAAGTTAATGCAATGTCTCTGAGGTCTTTGTTGGCTAAAGGAGCCATCTTCAGTATCTGCTTTTGAGGAGTAGAGCCGAATGAGGGGGAAGCTTCAGGTACGTCAGGACTGTTTCTAAATGATTGCGAAGAATCCCAGCAGTTTGATTTAGCCGGCGCTATGTTGGGAGTCACTTACATTTTGTGACGTTTGCAGCATTTTCTGTGCTAAGTTGCCTAACTTCTGTTAAAATATGATCACTTTTTACTATAAAGGAAGAAGAATTCAGTATTGATGCGTGCTAGTGTGGTTTGTCACTTGTGATAGGCTCAATTCCTTATAAAACACAAGATCAGTGATACTGTGTAAACATATACATGAGTTGATCTGTCAGTTGGTTCAGGCTAGTGTGATGTTACACTATCATTTATTTTCCATTTTCATCAAACAGGTGAGTGTTTAGTGAGAGCAGCAGGATGTTTGAGGTGTTGACTCGTGTTTCATTATGTATTCACGCCTGTGTAAACACAAGATATGAAAAATAGTTGATTTTCCTGCGAATGGATGCATAGAGCCTCTGAAATAGGAGATAGGAGACCTTGGATTTGAAGCTGTTTATCCATCTCTGGTGTTCTTTAAAATGCCTACCTGTAATTACATCGCCACGGCTGTTAAAATGTAGTGAAATTTTCCGAGTATCTCCAGGAAACTGCATACTAGGGGAATAAAGCCCCTCCCCTCTAGAGACAAAATAATACCCTCATTGTAATGATGGGGTTTATTGTGTGCAAAGAGTGCTGTGTTGGTCAGTTTTTTAGGTAAGCTCAGCATGGTTTAATGTGGTGGCACTTTGAAGACTGGTATTACCTTGACGCTCTGCTGACTCTTAGTGTGTTTTATTCAAGGCCTGTCATGAATGTGGTCAGCTGTAAGAAATGCTTGCATCAGCTCTCAAAAAAAGGGGGGAAAAACTGTTTTAACTTAAACTTTCCATTAAAGTCACAAAAGTTTTTATTAGAAAAAGAGTGCACAGTTAGAATGTAAAGGTAGGAGATAAATGCTTAGATTAATTTTATAAATAGCACATTAAAAAGCGTAGAACAATCTTTTAGGGTTATGTGTCCAACAGCTTTGCACAAGAATTGTGTCCAATTTATTATTCTGACTTACGTTAGTTTGTATTTAGAAGCAGGCTTGTCCAGTTTAGTCTGGATGGAGGGCTTTTACAGAGAGAGTCTTTCCCTCATTTCTATGGAGGGAAAAACATATTTTAAAATGCCTTTTAAAATGTGGAAACAAAACCCTAGAGGAAGCTGTCTTCTATCTTCATATCCTCTCTGTATTTCCTCAGGTTAAAGACATTTAACAAAATGATATTGTAAAGTCATGGCAAATGGCCAACAAGTAGTTTGATATCTGTGTCTTGATAAGTAGTTTGATATCTCCAAAATAACAAGCCTTTTTGGAGGGGTTCTTTAATGCAAATGTAATGAAATGTAATGATATTCACTAATAAATTACCGGTATGTCTGCCTTATAAAAAAAACTTCTGCAAGATGAATTTAGGGTATTTTGATTTTAACAAAAACCCTTGTATACATGTGCAAGAATAAGATATGTCAAAGGAAACCTCTTTCAGACTAAAAGTTAAACCCACATTCCATTCTTAGGGTTTTTTTAGCCAACTCTAACCCGTTTTATCTGCTCCTGCTAGAGATAATCATCCCAAAGCATAATGCTGCAACTACCATGTTCCCCTTTGGGGGTGGCCTTCTTAAGGTGTTAGTTTACACCACACATAACTTTTAGTATCAAGGCAAACAAAAAAGTTTTATTGTAGTCATCTAATCAGAGAACTGTGTTCTCTACATGTACTACGGTACTTAATATTTTATTTCGACAATACAGGACTCTTGCCTTTCCTCCATAAATGCTGCTTTTAAGAAAGAAGATCTAAGAGTTTTCCCTGGCATCTTGTTTTCCCAAAAAGTGTTTAATTTCTGCTGCTCTTCTAGAGTCACGATGAGACGTGTCCATCCTCTTGGCTTAGATGGTGACTGGGGCTGCAACTAACAATTATTTAGCAAATCGGTTAATCCGTTGATTATTTTTTCGATTAATATACTGTAAAATATTTTGCACTAAATAAATTATTTTTTTTATAATTGCATTTTTAAAAGAGAAAAAAAAAACATTTGCATTATCTTATTTCAAGTGCATATTATTTGAATATCTTATTTTACGAGTGAAAATACTAATTCCATTGGGAAACTAACCAACTCAAATGAAGGGTAGATAAACTTAATTTGAGACACTTTTACTTATTTCATGATAATTTTTTGCAGTGTAATCTGATAGCCAAAGGTTCCTTAAAGAAGATTTTTTACGAAACTAAACCAGGTGAAACTAAAACCTTCCACTAGAGTAGTTCTGGATAGGGCATATTGGCGGACACATTTTATTCATCTTAAAAGCAAAATGTTTATATCATTTTTTTACAATCTCTGCATAATGACTACTCTAGGTGGGTTGCTCTGTCAGCCTACAGACATGTTTTCTCTACACTACAGTTTAAGATTAATTGATTTCTAAATTAGTTTACGGTTATTAAAATAATCAATTAATCCTGATTAATCCGATTAATTGTTTCAGCCATAAATGTGACCATGTCTTGGTGCCAAACTCTTTCCTTTTTCAAATGATAAAAATCAAACAGATTTTTTTTTTTATCCAGTGGAAGCTCAGAGACCTTTAGAGGCAGCATGGCTGAACAGGTTAGGTGGCGCCACACAGTCACCATCAGCTCCAGTCATGACTGGTACTCCTGCACATCCAGCAGCTGCGCTCAAATCTAATTTCCCCGTCTGCTGTTGACTTTTGAGTGCAGCCCTTATCTATAGCCAAAAGATCTAGCCGCAGCCTAGTTGTACTGTAAGCTCTTAGCAATAGGGATTTTTTTTTTTTATTCCTAGAAAATCTGTAACTCTTTGCTTATAGCCGAGACTGTTTTGCATACTTGGACCTTTTCTGAAGCAGGTATGTTGGTGAACTACATCTTCCTACACATGTTGCAGAAAAACTCCCCACGGTGTGTCACTCACATGTGAAAAAAAATCAGGGGGGGAAATACACGGGTTAAACGTGAGTGTGCTTCACCTGTAGCCCTTTCAGGAAACATGAGAATATATTTATCCAGACAGAGGGGCTGTTTTGTATCTGCAAGCAGAAGCTTATCTTAAATTCAATCCAGGCAGGTGAGAAAAATGACAGTTCTTCCTGTGATTTCACTTCCCCTTGTTCTTTTTGAAACATTGTGTCCTCTGTGAGCCTCTCACCCTCTCTGTCTGCTCTGAGTAATCCTGTGCACGCAGCATGGCAGATGTTATCTCTGGGACTCTGCGTATGTGTCACCGGGAAATTAAACTTTTTTTTTTTTCTGTGAAATTAAGCCTGTTCTCCTCCGTCGCAATGTCGTAAGATCGTAGTTCATTAAGAAACCCTACTCTCTTGGTTGCTACAGGTCATATAAACATTTAAAAATGATTAATCAAACAGGTTGGAAATGTACTGGACTTTTTTTTGGCAGTGTCACCTATTAACTCTATGTCTCTATAATGGTTTATAAAATGTGTTGGTTTCGAAACAGGGAGCAAGTATGAAGAAACGCTGCCAAAAGAAGAGTGTGGTTTTAGATTTCTTTGTTAGATAAGAGTCAAATCCCCCGTAAAATCATAGTAACTGTTCACCTTCAAGCTGTGGGATAGAGGCAGGGGTTTTATTTCTGAAATGAAAATCTCGTTTTCAGAGCAGTTACCAGTTTTGGCAGTGCTTTGGGAGAAAGGTCTTTCCCCTAAGCTCAGGTTAGTGATGTAAACAGAAAGTAGTGGTGGAGCAGTTTTAACATTATGCCCTTCTTTTTGTCCCTTAGGTATCTGTAGTTTGTCTGCGGATCTTTGTACCCCTACCTTCAGTGCCACTGCTTGTGCCTCGACAGCTCAGCTCTGCCTCCGGCTTTGGTTTCCGCCAGTACTCCCAGAAGAAACTCTGAGACAAGCAAGAGGCCCCTGAGACCTCTGTATGTCTCATAGCTCCTACAGACCTATTTCTTGTTTTACCTCCCTCTGTTTCCCCTTCAGCAGCCACATTTTAACATAACTGAACACCGTAGAGCTGTTCTGCCACATCACACTTCAGAATTGCTCTTCGGTTCGGGATAAGAGTTTGACGCTTGACTGGAAGTTAACTTGGTGCTCCTCAGACGGGGGGGAGGAAGGCCGCTGAACACAGTGCTGCTTTCCCCGGAGATGAAGCTGCAGGCCGTGATGGAGAACCTGCACAGGCAGCAGAGGGCCAAGCTTCTGATGGAGCAGCAGCTACAGCAGCAGGCCATCTCTCAGCACGCTCAGGGCCGCACAGGAGACGATCCGATGGAGAGCCCCGCCCCCGAGGGTGAGCAGGCCCAGATAGCGGCGCTGGCAGCCATGAGAGCTGCGGCGGCCGGGCTGCAAAGAGTGTCAGACAGCCCCATGTCGAAGCGCAGCAGCGGCGGAGAGGAGGAGCGTGAAGATGACAACGATGAAGGGGAGGAGCATTACAAGGACATGATGGGCTCAGATGAGGAGGAACAGATGTAAGTAGCTGAATGTATTTTGTTTTTTTTTAATGAAGTGTAAGTTTTTTAAAACCTTTTTTAATTTCCAAAACGCATGTTCAGAAAAAGAAAATGGAACGAGGGGGACTTTGAAAGCGACATGGAAGAAGACTATGATGATGACCTGGCAGAGGAAGGCTTGCCGACAGGCCACGACGCTCTGGCTCCAGGAAAGGGCATCCTCCTGCTGCCCCACCGTCAGCTCCACCCCCACTCCCAGCTGCTGAAGGTCCGTCCCAGTGTCGAACAGGAGCCCCGCGTTGCCATCATGCCTCCCCACGCTCCACACAGCCACCTGGGTGGACAGGACCATGGAGAATGGACCTATGAGGAGCAGTTCAGACAGGTGGGACCTCTCATTTAAGAGATAAAACCTGACAAAGTCTGTGACTTTACTTAGCTCTTTGGTATTTCTTGTATGATAGTTTCCTATATTTCAAGTTTAATAGTCTGTATTCTTACATCTAAGATACAGAATAAGATTAATCCAGCACTAACTTTAAAAATATTTTTGAAAACATGCATAATATTTAATTTTACTCTACTTACTCTATCAAGGAGGTTATGTTTTAAGTTGAGTTTGTGTTTGTTTATCCGTTTGTGTACAGGATCACTTTAAAAATTATGAACAGATTTTTATGTTATTTAACTAAAGATGCACCTCAGTCTAAGGAACAATCCATCAAATATTGGTAATGATCCAGATAATAATCTGGATGTATTAATCTTTTAAAGGATTCTTTAATATTATTTGACAGAAAAAAAGCAGTTTTCCCAAATCCAAAGAGTTGCAGCAGGGACTATTGACAGCTTCAGCATCGGATTAAAGAAAGTCCAGAAATATTGAAGACAAAAACACAGGAGAGATTACCCATTTCTCCGTGGAAGTCTTGATTTGCTGATCAAATAAGAAAGCAGAGTGAATGAAGTAGGTGAGAGCAGAGCAGACACCAGAGGCTGCAGAAATGAGCTGTGCCTTATTTATAAACTTTTGAAAGGATTTTACCAAAGGAAGGTGTGCCTCATGCCAAGCAACATTACATTATAATTTGGTAATGATCCAGATCATGTGAGAGTTTAAGCTATCCATTTAAATCACAATATGGGGCAAAATTTGCTTCTCGGTGGAGGTCTGCTCTCGGAGTGCTTTTCTATCTCTTTTTGTTTTACTCTTCTTTTTTTGGTTGTAGTTACTTTAACAACCTTTAAATTTTACAACAAAGGCTATAAAACAGATTAGGTGTTTTCTTGTTCTTTTGTGACCTCCTGAGTGAGTCATCGGAATAATTTGATTGGCTAGCCAGCTTAAGGCATGTCCTGCTCACGTTTTCCCCAGTTTTAGATTAAGGCTCTATGTGGTTCAGTGAACCGAAAAAAATAATCACTTATATTAATTTCCATAACTTTGTTTCTTATCTGAAAAATCTGAATTTCTTTAAAAGAGGCATAATGTGCTGCTTTTTGAGATATTTTGGCCTACTTCATGTCATCAGACGGGTTCTAGACAACTAACCTTTGGTTTTTACAGATGTGGGAGAAATTAGCTAATGAAATTTAAATCAGTTTTTGTGGTTTGTGTTTGAGCCTACAAGTGGGTTGGATGCATAGTTTTTTTTTCCAGCATTCTAATCATTACACATAATTTAAGATCAACCAATTACTGTTTAATTTCTTGTCTGCTGTTAAAACGTTACAGAACATTCAAGTGACATATAAAAAGAGAGATGTTTCCTGAATTTTTAATTCATTTGAGTCATACTTGAGCTGTCATGATCAAATATAGATAAAAATAATGACAAAAAAAAAACTCCAAAAAAGTGAATTAATGGAATCCTAATGAACTGAAGTTTCCCGTTTGAAGAACAAACAAAGGATTATTCTATTCTACTTCCATTAGCAGAGCTAGCGTGTTTCCTGTGGAGATTCTTATCTGCCACTGGACCCCACCTCTCCTTGAAGCAGAGTCGTCTGGTGGGAAGAATCTGGAGTTTCTGTTATCTGCTGTCTGACTTGTTGTTCTTGAGACAGACCGTTGCCTCTGAGAGACCTATCAATGTTTTTTTAAGTTGAGATAAAGCTCTCTGGAATACCTTTTTATAATAATAATGATAAATTAACACCTCCATGTTTTCATTTTTTCTACATATTACTCAAACTGAAAAGTCAACCCGTAGAAACCAGTATTGTCCCGGTGTAGAATGGTGGAAAATGGCAGTGAAATGCAGCGTTGTCTGTGTACGTGCAATTACTCCTGCATGCATCTTGTTTTAGTGTGGTGTAAAGCTATGTGACGCCTTTTATTTTGAAAAGCAATAGAATATAAAGGGGGTGTCCGGTCCCTCACGGTAGCTCTGTGTGATACATACCTGTTAATAAAAAAACAACGTGACATGGTGTCAGGAGTGGAATACGACGCATGAATGAAGAAAGATGAAGAAGAGGGCTAAGAGGAGAAATCGTGCATCAAGCGGATTAAAAGAAAGTTTTGCAAGTAGCTCTGGTGACGAAACGAGAGACAAGCAGGCAGAAATGGGGCAACCCCCGCCATACAACCTCCTGTTCAGTCATTGTGGAGAACCATGGCTTCTGTCATTTCCAATGGTCAGCTGTTAGAGCCACATCTGTCCTTCATCCTCCTCATGTTAAACCTGCATGAGACACATGGTGAAATCTGAACAGGGTAGGAGCCAGGCAGCTAAAAACCGCATTTTACCACCTGACCCTCTCACAGGAACCATTCTTTAAATTTCCTGGTCTAATAAAAGCCCTTTTTTCCCCTCCCCACCAGAACTACTTACTCCCAGGTTAGATTTAGCTGTAACTCACTATGTATTCCCTAAAATAAGCCCATGAAATGGTTTGGTATTCCCTAAAATATGAACTTTTATTAACCTTTTTTTTATAGATTGAACTGTATTTGGTCAAAGCAATTAATAGGAAATCAAACTTTTTTTTTTTTAAAGTAGAAAATTAGTTTTAACAGGGGTTAATACAAGTAAAAGTTTTTTTGTTCTTGAAATGGGTTAGAGTGGGAGGATCAGGCGTAGTTGAGAGCAGAGTGGGGGGTGGGTCGGTCAGGGAGCATTTTAACAGCTTTACCGTGCAGGAGTTTACTGTAAACATGCCAGTGGGTTGGATATTATGAGGGAGGCCTGAGTGAAATAAGACAGCCTGTTTACATGGCAAGACTTAAGGCTGTCAGCAGCTCCGTTCAGATGGAAGACTGCTGTCAGTTAATAGAGACTGACAGAAAACTTCAATCTAACAGCAGTTTAAATCAGGATATAAAAAAAAAAATCCCCACTGTTATAAAGATGATTTTTATTGGAATGTTATCTTTTTCTTCTCTTAAAAACCGGATAAAGATTTATCAGAAGACTGACCTTTGCAGCCTCAAGCAATCACTAAAGTTGCAGATGGACTTTTTAGTGTCCTTGATTCAGTTTATAAAAATGTCTTTCCTGTAAGCATGCCTCCTCCTCTGCGCCAGAGCCTGTTTTTCATCTCCTATATATACATGCTCATGTTTGGCACGTAGTGAGCCACCATTTTATGAAGCTTATTATTACATAATGGGAGGCGCATTGAATTGCAAACACTATCATGGTCTGTTGCAATATTTCCAACCATAAAAATGATCATTGTGAGAAATGGGCTGGTCCTTGTATCACATTTCTTAACTTTTGGTGCATTTTCAGCACTGAGACAGTCTGCAAGTCTGCAGTGAATTATTTTAGCCACATTGCATGCAGCCTATACAGGCTTTTTTATCAAGCCTAACTATAGATTCTGTAATTTAAGGCCCTTTTTTTTAAATTACAGACCTTGTGGAATATAACTCCCCTAAAACCTATACTCCGCTTCTCTAAATAGCCCACCCCTCCCTATGTGAAGGTTTCTGTGAGCGCCCTGACAGGGTATTCTCAGATTTCATGTGGCAGGTATGACATACAGGGCAATTTTGTCATCAAGCTTCATTCAGTAGTGGATTAGATTTGTCTTCGGAACATTTGGCACCTAAGCGTGTTTTCATCTTTCTCAATCTGTAGATCATTAAAGATTAACTTTTAAATATTTTTTATCTCATCATTGATGCAGAGACGACCGATAAGAAAAGAAAACAAAAAAACTGTATATTAGAAATGCACATTTCTCACATTCACACGGCTATTTTTGCTTTGTATGATTATAGCAATGAGCTGTAATTGCAGTTATAGTCTGTTATAACAACCACTGAGTGCCTCCTGATAATTCAAACCCCACACATCAAAGTAGCTGATTTTCTCTTTTTTTTGTCTGGATTGTATATTTATTTTGCTTCCTTTTTTTCTTCTAAACCTAACAAGTGGTTTCTTCGTTGCTTTTTTTGGATGGATATAATTGTTAAATATATACTCCATCTTTTCACTTTTTTTATTCTATGAGGCCACAAAGCCTCGTGCGTTTATGAAATATTAAAGCGATGTCGCTGCGATACCATACTGCGTGCAATCGCAAGATGGGCAACAACGCTGAAATATCTGCAAAACAGTAAAACAAATTATGTTGCAGTTATCATCTAAAAGAGCCCTGCATTGATGCAGCCAAAGTGCTGAGCTGGAAGGTTTACTTTTATAGCGACTTCATTAATAATGAGAAGAAGCGAGCGCGCTTTAATGTTGTGCTTCACCTCTTTCAGACTCCATTCAGTCTGCTACTCCTGCTTTTATAAGGGGGGAAATATACTTTCCCCTTTATGCCACAGAGAACAGGTAATGCTCTGTATTGTATCGGATAATCCTGCATCTTCACAAGTGTTTTAGTTCAAACACATCCAGCTTACAGTGCTTTGGAAAAGTAATCCTTTTTCACATTTGTTTGTGTTGAAGTCACAAACCTCTATGTCTTTTCCTGGGATTTTATGCTTTGCTCTCAGCATGATATTGCCACCATCATGTATCGCTGTAGTTGCAGTCTGTTCAGGGTCGTGTACAAGGTTAGTTTTTTGCCACACATAAAGATGAAAAAGTTCTGTTTTGGGCTCCTTTGTACCTACTTGTTTGTTATGTCTTCTACTAGGCTGTTTCAACCTGGAAATAATTCTTCTTATGTTATCAGCCAACAAGTTCTTCCCAGTCCTCTATAAAAGTCAGACTATTTTAATCCACAATCCCCCACATTTGTTTTTGCTATATTTGCATATTTATTTATTTTTTGTTTCATTTTTTGATGATAAATTAAACAGGGCTTCATGAGGTATTGTTTTTTAAAGAAACCCCAAGTAAGTCTTAGTCAAGCAGCAATATTCCGACGTTTAACCCCACCCCCCAACCTGTCTGGTGTGGACAAATACAGAATCCTTGTTTT